GTTGATTGAACCCACGTGCAGCAAATCAAATCAGCACGCACCTTCTTGTAAGTGGAGCACAGACACTGCTTTTTCTTTTCTCTGCTTTTTATTTTACTGAACCCATCGTATTTCTTTCTACAGCCAGGCAGAAACGACCTGCAACGGCAGGACTCGCGGGCTGCCTACCACACGTTGTCTGAACGTAGGAAACGCATTTAATGAATAACACCCCGGGCATTCGAACACGAGGGCTGCAATAAATGCCTTTTGTACCCGCTTCGGTGCCAAGGCTGAGAACTTTGGAAGCCACGGTGCGTAGCAGGTGGCACTGCTGCGCGCAGCCTTCCACGTCCTCTCTCCTACTGCTTCAGAAAGCGCCCAGCCTCCAGAAGCCATGCCATGCTGGGGCTGCTTTCCCTGTAATGCCGAGCTCTACACGGCAGCGGTTGTCTCTCTAAGTATCGGAAGATTTTTCTCTGATTAAGTAATTCTTCAGGGAAAAAAAGCTTCCTGGAAACCGGAGCCTTCGCGCAGAGATGAGGTTCCCGAGGAGCGTCTGCCCTGCGTGTTGTTTGACTGCTTCTGTGCAAGGACTGACAGCGAATTCCGCGCAGGGTGCAAGCGCCTTTCCCACCCCTGCCCAGCCTCCCGCTGACGGTCGCCGCAGGGACAACGCCAGCAGCAGGACACGCCCGGTGATGGAAGACATCCTGGAAACCGGAGCCTTCGCGCAGAGATGAGGTTCCCGAGGAGCGTCTGCCCTGCGTGTTGTTTGACTGCTTCTGTGCAAGGACTGACAGCGAATTCCGCGCAGGGTGCAAGCGCCTTTCCCACCCCTGCCCAGCCTCCCGCTGACGGTCGCCGCAGGGACAACGCCAGCAGCAGGACACGCCCGGTGATGGAAGACACAGTTACGCCTCTTTATTACACACGACGTTTTTAACGCCGCAAGCAACCCCAGGAAAAGAACACGCGTGTCTCGGTCCCCCTTTTGTGAAGCAGCACCCACTGCAGCCGCAAGCCCAACGTCTGCGGGCAGCAGCGGGGTATCGGTGTGCTGGTCACATCTCGGGATCAGGCTGCTCGGTGGGGAGGGGTCTGCCTTCGTGGGAGATCCCACGGCGAGCGCTGGCTGTGTTGGGTGTGTAGCTTTTACACAGGCGCTCAAAGAGGGCAGATCTTGAAGAAGTTTGAGCTGCACGTGGAGATCACCACGTGAACCCGAGGGCTCTGCTGCTCCTTTTTTATCTAATAAATATGTGTACGTCGGTATGCTCCAGCAGCAGGCACACAGAGCCATCTGCAGAGAGGCCCTGTGGGACAGCAGCAGGACTCCAGCCTGCTGATGTTGTCCCGTATACTTTGTGAGCGTTCCTTTAATTCTTGAAAGGGAAAATGGATCTATCAAAAGAGTTGCAACAGGTCTATGCAGCGTTCGGAAATCCCACGGAGCTACCTAGTGTTCACCAACAGCGCAGCGCTGAAGCACTTCGCGTTCCCACAGCCAATGGCACAGGCACACAGTGCCCTCAGGAACAGGGACGGCGACCCACCGGAGTGTCGTGCTGCTGCCGGAGCCGGTGTTACTTCAGATAAGCTGGATGACTTGGCGTTGAAGCAGGAGAGGAGCAGCCACATCACTTACAGGTGGGACTGGAGAGCTGAGCTCTGCTACTGGACTGCGGAGATTCTGCAATCAGGTGTTTGCCTTCGTTACACGTCTACACGGAGAGCAGCAGTCCTGACTTCGTGTTTATCGGTCAGAACAATGGAGTGCATTTTCTTAATGATTCTTACAGAATCACAGAATAGTAGGGGTTGGAAGGGACCTCTGTGGGTCATCTAGTCCAGTATTTAATGAAATAGAACTTGTTTCCAATAAATCTGAGTCAGTATTTATTGTTTCCAATAAATCTGGTGCACTAGGCCACGGAAGGAGGTGTGTTCGCTAGCACAACGCCGACTTTGCAAAACAAAACCAAGACGATCCGTCCTTGCTGCATCTCTCCTGCTACAGTCTTCTATGCCCGAACATACCACTGATACACGACAAGGGGCTGCCTCAGAGCAGGGCTCCCGTCGTGGATGCGGCTCCCCGCAGGTTGCAGAGCAAGGGCCCCTGCACAGACCCGCTTGCCTTCAGTCCATCAGCTGGTCTCTGCAGAACCCGCTGCGGCGTTGGGAGCCTTAGCTCACGGCTGCTTTGTAGCTGCCGGTGTCTTCATGTTTGTGTCACCGGGAACACTTGGTTGACAAAACCAACAGCAATAAAAAATATACTAGGAAGAGGTAGATTTATTTACATCCATTTTCTCTGGTGACAACAGAGTCCTTTACCTCCAAAGTATGTCCACGCCTGAATCAATGGAGCAGCCAGGCTCCTTGTAAGTGAGGGAGAAAGCAACGTGTGAGTCTGTTTCACTGCTTATCTTGTTCGACTCACTGTTGTAAACGCCTGTGCTGAAATACTCAAGCAGGGACTCAAAGACAGGGTGGCAGGGAAGGAGCACAGGTCCTTTTTGCTGGCCTACAGATCCTGATTCGGTGCTTGCTGGGAGAAGCGGGAAAATTTAGTCTGAATAGGCAGAAGCAGCAAATTTTGGAAGGGGGGGAAAAAAAAGGCTGCCAAAAACCAGTTAAACTCCAGAAAACGTGCTTTCTAAGGTGCTTAATGTGTTGTTCTGCTTTTACATAAAGCGTCTTCATCCGGAGTCATTCGGGAAAGGCTCAGGAAAAAACCTTCCAAGTGCTGAACCTCAGGCTAAAGCAGGGCTGGCAGCCATCTTTCCTTTACAGTAAAAGCGAGGTTTGTAAATGAAACGCCAACACGGTGCGAGCCCCCGACGCATCAGCGCAGGGAGAACAGGCAAGCAGCACGGCAGAGGGCCGTGTTCGAGCCACTCGAAGGGCTGAGTCATCGGCAGGGGGGGGGGC